AGTTTATCCTGTTTTGTAAGATATTAATTCAAGCTTAATGGATTCCAGAGGGACATTCTGTAGGAGACTGATTGGCATCACTCTACCAAAATTATCTTCTTTCTAATAATAAATGTTCTCATGAAATCACAGTAAGATCAATATCAATACTGTGATTGGCAAGCCCTGAATTGGAGTCTTAAAGAGTGTGGTCTACAGGGTTGTTTTTATCTCCTTACGACGCAGTTTAAAACTGCAGAGAGATCATCAATTTAAATGATCAAACGTAATAATCTGCATAAAATTGGAAAGGATATTAAAAACGAGGGGAGGCTGCAATTTAGTTGAAGGATGCCTTTCCAAATCATTGGAAACTAAATTATTAAACTATACAAGATGAATGATATATATACATATATTTAAAATGAACAGTTATTTTAAGGAAAAAAAATCAGCAGGGAAAGAATTTTAATATCATGAGGCCGGATAATTTGCTCTGAGTTCATAGAACTCATATCCAACTCAACGTCAGTAAGACCGAGGCCCTGCTGATTGGCTCGCGCCAGCGCCTCCGCACCTTGGGCACTGGCTGCATCAGCCTCCATGGCTGCACACTCACCTCACTACGCCAGTCAGGAACCTGGGTGTCTTGTTTGACCCTGAACTGTCCTTTCTCCCCCACATCCGCGCCATGACTGGCACTGCCTACCGCCCCCTCGCTACATTGTCAGACTCCATCACTCCCTCATCTTCGTCTCACTTCCTCCCTTGCCTCCTTCAAGGCCGGTCTCGAGACCCTCTTAGTTGCCCTCCCACCTCTCTGCCTTCCCTCACCCCTACCTCACCCCTCCTGACCCCTGACTGTCCAGCGTCTTGGGACGTCCTCACGATGTGAAAGGCGCTCTCTAAATGTAATTTTGTTGTTGTTGTTGATTTGAACGTATGGTATTTTTTTCTTCAAATTAATCACATGCAAAGAATTTCTAAAAGTATACCAATTCTATCCATTAGCTTCTGACTGTCTGTGCAAATCTTAAGATGTATAATTTAAGAACATAAGAACATAAGAATTAGGAGCAGGCGTAGGCCATTCGGCCCTTCGTGCCTGCTCCGCCATTCAATAAGATCATGGCTGATCTTCTGATTATCTGCCCTATCCCCATATCCCCTAATACCTCTATTTTTCAAGAATCTATCAGTCTCAGCCTTGAAAATGTTCAAGGACTGAGCATCTACAGCCTTCTGGGGTAGTGAATTCCATAAGTTCACTACCCTCTGAGTGAAGAAATGTTTCCTCAACTCTGTTCTAAGAGGCTGACCCTTAATTTTAAGACTGTGACCCCTGGTTATGAATTCTCCTACCAGGGGAAACAGTCCTTCTGTGTCTACTTTATCCAGCCCTTTAAGAATCTTACAAGTTTCAATAAGATCCCCCCTAATTCTTCTGTACCCTAGAGAATATAGCCCTAGTTTATTCAGCCTATCCTCATAGGTCAGTCCCCTCATCCCAGGAACTAACTGAGTGAATCTACGCTGCACCCCCTTTAGGGCAAGTATGTCCTTTTTTAAATAAGGAGACCAAAACTGCACACAATACTCTAGGTGTGGTCTCACCAAAGCCCTATACAGTTGCAGCAAGACTTCCCTACTCTTATATTCTAAACCTTTCGAAATGAACTCTAACATGCCGTTCGCCTTCTTAGTTGCTTGCTGCAAAGATGAACAACATTGCCCAAAGGTGAACAACATTCCCACACTTTCCACACCTGCAAACTAACTTTTTGGGACTGGTGTATAAGGACACCCAAATCTCTTTGAATACTAACACTATCTAACTTCTCCCCTTCCAGAAAATAATCTGTTCTTTTATTCTTGCTACCTAGGTGAATAATTTCACACTTGCTAGCATTGAATTCCATCTGCCACCTACTTGCCCACTCCCCGAGCCTATCTATATCTTGTTGCAATCTTTTTGCATCATCCTGAGATCTCACTCTGCTACCTAGTTTAGTATCATCCGCGAATTTAGACACATTACATTCAATGTCCTCGTCCAGATCATTGATGTAAATGGTAAATAGCTGAGGCCCAAGCACTGATCCTTGTGGCACTCCACTAGTTACATCCTGCCAATTCGAGAATGATCCGTTTATCACTACTCTTTGCTTTCTACCCGATAGCCACTCTTCTATCCATGTTAATATTTTCCCATTAATCCCGTGGGCCTTGATCTTGAGTAACAGCCTTTTGTGTGGCACCTTGTCAAATGCCTTCCTAAAATCCAAATATACCACATCTACTGGTTCCCCCTTATCCAACCTGCTGGATACATCCTCAAAAAATTCTAAAAGGTTAGTCAAGCATGACTTCCCTTTTGTAAAGCCATGTTGACTCTGCCTAATCTTTTTATGGTCTTCCAGGTATCCCATAACTATGTCTTTTATTAAGGACTCAAGAATTTTCCCTACAACTGACGTCAAACTAACTGGTCTATAGTTTTCCCTATTTTTTCTCCCACCCTTCTTAAATAGTGGAGATACGTTTGCAATCTTCCAATCAATGGGAACTTTTCCAGTACCCACAGACTTTTGGAAGATTATAGACATGCCATCCACTATCTCAGTAGCCACCTCCTTTAAAACTCTCGGATGCAGGCCATCCGGTCCAGGGGATTTATCGGTTTTAAGATTCGACAATTCATCTCTTTACTAATGTTAATCTCCCTAAGTTGCTCGCTAACATTGTCTTCTTGGTCCTCTATTTTTGGTATGTTACTGCCTGACAGGCCACAATTTGCCCAGATTTCACCAGTTTCTTTTACTTTTCAACTGTGAACGGTCTGAGAGGAAGCAGATCAACCAACTGCTGGCAGAGAAATTAGTTGGCTCAAACAGTGGTATTTAATTTCATGCTTTAATTATTATTTTAGGGGAAGTCACATGAGTGAAGACAAAAAATCATTTAAAGGGGAAAGTATCCCTATGTGATTTCCAAACTTAACAATGAATGACACTTAAATAGGAAATGAATAACTTAAATAATTAACATTTGCATCGCTTATTAGGTGCCCAACACAATTGAATTGAATCATTTGCAAATTTAAACTTGCCAAACCACTGAAGCAAACTCAACATACTGAATATTTGTATCCTAAACATATAATACTAATCCTTGGATTTGATATAGCGCCTTATCACATCTTCAAGACATCTCAAAGCACCTCACAGAATATACTGTAAAGTGAAATGACTGTATATTTTGTGGGCACAGCATTAGTTTACACCAGTGGCAGCATAACTTTGCCTCATGAGATAGTTTGCTTCAAACATCAACATTATATTAAATAAAAACAGAAGTCGCTGGGTACACGCAGCAGGCAGCATTATAGTAACACTATACCAGTTATGACAGAATCAGAATATTTTGCAAAATACAGAAGCATTTGTGATATTTCAAGGATTTCAATTACAATATTGTCATTGGTTTCAACAACAAGATTACATTTGTATAGCGAATTTCACGTCGAAAGGACGTCCCAAGGCCTGGACAATGTACCGCATTTCAGACCCGAGCTGGGGTCAGGGGGGAGAAAGGAGGGGAGGGGAAGGGGGGTGACCGATGGCATGGTCGAAGAGGAGGATCTTGAGGCGGGACTTGAAGGAGGCTAAGGAGGGGGCGAGGCGGAGTGATTGGGGAATGCAATTCCAGAGGTTGGGGGCAGAGTGGCTGAAGGCTCTCCCGCCAATGATGGGGCGGGTGGGTCGGGGGACATGGAGCAGGCCTGAGCCGGCTGAGTGGAGGGAGCGGCGGGTTGCCAGGGGGTTAGGAGGTCGCAGAGGTAGAATGGGGTGAGACCATGGAGGGCTTTGTATGTGAGGACCAGGATCTTGAACTGGATCCTCCGAAGGATAGGGAGCCAATGGAGTTGGGTGAGAATAGGGGAGATGGGGTCTCGGAGTTTGGTGCGGGAGAGGACACGGGCTGCAGAGTTCTGGATTATCTGCAGCCTGTGGAGGGGAGGAGTTGGGAAGGCCGACAAGCAGGATGTTTGCATAGTCGAGCCTGGAGGTGATGAAGGTATGAACAAGAGTTTAGGCGGCCTGAGGGGTGAAGTAGTGGTGGAGTTGGGCAAATTTACGGAGGTGAGGGAAGGCAGAGCAGACCATGGCTTGGATGTGGGGAAGAAAAGACAGTTGAGGGTCAAACAAGACACCTAGGTTCCTGACTGGCTTGGTGAATTGTTGTCCAACAGGCAATCTGCCAGGACAGCAGTGGTCCTGGAGTTGAGTGTGGAGGCAGAAAGATAGAGTTGGGTGTCATCTGCTTACATATGGAAGTTGACCCCATGTCTGCGGATGATGTCACCAAGGGGATAGATTTTAGATATTAAGGAGGAGAGGACCAAAGACAGAGCCCTGGGGGATGCCAGATGTGACAGTGAGGGGCCTGGAGGAGAAACCGTTAGAGGCAAAAAGTGGAAACGGTGAGAGAGATAGGAATTGAACCAGGCAAGGGCAGGTCCGCGAAGATTAAGTAAAGAGCAGAGGAAGTGTATGAGGATGGAGTGGTCGACAGTGCCAAAGAGGCAGAGAGGTTGAGGATGACAAGGAGGCAGAGGGAGCCCTGATCACAAATGTTCAGAATGTCATTACTGACTTTGACCAGGGCTGTTTCCATGCTATGGGCAGCACGGAAGTTGGATTGGAGGAGTTCATAGAGGGAATGGCGACAAAGAAAGGAGTGGAGCTGGGACCTTGGAGAGGATTGGGAGGTTAGAGATGGAGCAGTAGCTGGACAGATGTGTAGTTCCAGACGTGCAACACAGAATATTTTTTCACAAGCTGCTTCATTAATCAGAAATACCCAGTGAGCCACTTTAGCAAATGGTGCAGGATGCATAGTAAACAACCTAATCGTTGTGCAGTGAGGTACTCAAACCTCCACAAATACAGGGAAACGTGGAAATGTATAATTTATAAACCACTGAAAAATTACTAAAGTATTTCACTGAGCACACCAACCTCATTTATTGCCACATAGTATTGTGGATGTTGAAACTGTGGAGAGTTATCATTTCGGTCTCTGACTATAATTCGTATTTCATGGTTGATGATGCTTCCGACTTGCAGATTAGTGCATTGCAGCTGTACCACAATGGACTGGATATTTGATGGAGGCTGTTGACAATGAAACAAAAAGAGAGACTTTAACTGAAAATATTTTGGATTCTTTCCTGTGAAACAAGTCTCATTAAAAAAAGACGGTAAGAATCTTTTAATCATCAAAAAGAAATATGCAAAATAAGTAAGCAGTTCTGAAGATTAAAGACAACTTATTCCTATCACCTTAATGAAAAATATGGCTATTTTGACCCAATATGATCTAGATTAAACTTTAGTATAATTTTGTCTAAACTTCAAATCTTTGATTGTCCTCTATTTACATTCATTATGAGAAATTCAACACCTAAGAGAAAACCAAGAGTAAATCAATAAAAAAATTTCAAAAGGGAATAAGATAGGTACTTGAAAAGGAAACATTTGCAGGGATATGGGGAAAGAGCGGGGGAATGGGATTGATTTGGATAACTCTTTTCAAAGAGCTGGCAAAGACATGATAGGCCAAATGGCCACCTTCTGTGCTGTATAATTCTATGATATGGAGTCCTGTAGCTCAGTGGTTGAGCACTCGCCTTGCAAGCGAGACGCCTGGGTTCAATTCCAGGCAGGGTAAAACCTTGGGCAAGTTTCCTTACTCCACACGCCTAATAATAATCTCTCCAAAACAAAACAATAATAAATTGGTAATTTTTAATCCCCGACTGTTTGTGGTACACTGCTGTGCGCAATTGGCTGCCGCGTTTCGCCCACAAATATACGGTCCATTCACTTTACAGCATATTCTGTGAAGCGCTTTGAGACGTCTAGAAGACGTGAAAAGCGCTATATCAAATGCAAGGATTATTATTATCATTCTATGATTGTTGTCAATTGTTTACTACTTCTTTCAATTTCAGAGCCATGGTTAATTTTTACATTTAACGCTGATGCTTTCCTGCCAGTTAATTTCGACGAGGGAAACAAAGCTGAAGCTAGTGGGGATATGGATTGAGTCTCTAGGAAATGTCATGCTTCATTCAGCAAGGCTTCAAAATGTCAAAGCTGTGTTTCAGCCTTAATTGTGCATACAATAATGGAAGGTTAGTGATTTTTTGACACCTGCAGTGTAGGGTCAGAGATTTAGAATTACAACCGAAAAACCAATATGTCTTTTTTTTTAAAAAATAGCCCTGCATCAGTTTTTATTTTGAAACATTGTTACCAATTTCCTTTTGGCAAAATTGCTATCTGAAGGTACTTTACTGTGAATAATAATATTCCTTGCATTTGATACAGTGCCATATCATGTCATTGAGACTTCTCAAAGCGCTTCATAGAATGGATTGTAAAGTGGGTTGACTGTGTATTTTGTGTGTCTAAATGAAATATTGTGTGAAGTTTTGGGTACCCTATCTTTAAACGTCATTTGGATTGGGCATAGGAAACAATAACAAGAGTAATTCAAAATTTTAGAGCTCTAGGTTATAGGGAGAAACATGTTGAGCTGAACTTGCTTTTATTATTTCAAAGCATATTGAGGGAGAGACATTCCTCAGATCTTTAACAGGATGCCAGCCACATATACATGACTTAAGACCATGAGAACAAAACTGTAAAGCAAAGGTTTAAAATTAAAAAGTCAAAATGACCAGCGATTCCTCCACAGATTATAAAAGAATACATTAATTTTGTGTGGAGGCACTCTGAGTATATTTTTATGGTCAGCTGGGTATCTGACACATATCTGACACTCATCACCATGTTTAAGAGTATTCAAATGAGACAGAGTTCCATGAGCCCCACCTAGAAATGGAAATCTCTGTGGGTGGCAATGCAAGGAATTTATAGAAGATAATGTGAAAATGTTATAAAAATTTGTGACATTTTAATATTGAAACATTTGAAACTGTAAATATAACTTACATCTCTGTCCAGAACACGGCCTGTGCTGTTCAAATACAGCCTTTGATTGACAGCATCCAGAATCACCCAGAAGTCATGGTTATCTCGCAACAATAAGGCGATGGTAGGACTTGGGCCACCTGCTGTCCCCTTAATCTGCATATTGTCCACCAAAAGTGTTCCTGTTTACAGCAATGAAAACCATTAGGAAAATAAAATAAATTGAAGCCGAGTTAATACAATACGATAATCTTTGCGTTTGAAATAGCATCTTATCACATTGTTGAGACGTCTCAAGGATCTTCACAGGATAATACTGTAAAGTAATGTGGCTGTGTGTATTTTGTGTGTGAACATGGCAGCCAAATTGCACACAATGTCCCACAAACACAGTAATATGTTATTACTTTTCAAAAGAAAACAAGATATTTAAGTAATCACATTTTAGTGATCTCTTCCATCCATGCATTTCACATTTAATGCTGATTTTGTTCCTCCACATTCAGTTGCAGTGAATATTATTCACCAATGCGGGAATATTTGTTTGTTTGTACATGTGCACCTGTGTGTAATTTGCTTCAAGATTCTGATATTTTTAAGTGAAGTTAGTCTTTCTCTGTTTGAAAAGATTAGATTCCAACTAACACTTCTACAGGTCATTGTATTGAGGCTAACACAGCTTTGCACATTATCAATATGCCAGATCCCAGGTTATTCCTTCTTACCCTCAGGCACTAATTCGGTTAGCTCCAGGACACAAGATAAAACCTGATTTAAATTTAACCACTGAAAACCTTCAACACACATTTTGCACCTTGAATATTATATTTACAGTTCCATATATATTGCATCATTATATACAAGCTTCATTTGAAATGTATTGCAATGATAACATGAGTAAAATAGGTATTAAAAATAAAATTAATGTGGTAATTGAAATGTAATCCAACCCAGATTGATGGGATTGAAATCCTTCTCTCTTGTGGGTGTAAAATGAGGCAGGAATTGATTCAAACTAATTCCCCAACCTAAACAAGTTCCCAGAGCAAAACTGCCTAAAATTGAAAGTCTTACTGAGATAATCAATTGTTAAAATGCAACAAACAACCATGAAGTGAATTGTATCTGGCAGACTCTTGGCCAGGAAACTAGAAGAAACTCCCTTATCTTTTTGAATAGTACCATGGGAACTTTAATGTCCAATTGAACAGAAGACACGTGTTAAATAAGTACCCCCCACACCCCTCTCCAAAAAAGTTAGCAACAGTCTTACCAAATGATGTTTTTTTAAAACACGTGGAAACTTGCACCATCTCACATATACAGTATGTGCTTCATTTACATTGAACTACAAAAACATATACAGCACTTGCCCAGACCAAATGGATCAATACGATAAACCAATAAAGGATGAGATATATTAATTCAAATCTTTTTCTAAATATTCTATTGCTTGGATGTAATCATGCGATCCTGCTAACCTTCCCATTATTTTCATGTCATGAAAATCAATTAGTTTAAACATTACAACTCTCGTTTTCTATCTCNTTTTTATTGTTACTCTTGCTTTGTTTAATTAATACTGTAACATGTTATCACCTTATTGATATTTCTACATATTTTCTGCCTGCTCATGATTCCTCCTCTTATATCATTTGTCCCTATTCTAACAGCCTTCCAATTTTTTCTTAACTTGATTTTTTTTTACTTCCTTCTCCCTATCTGCCTTTTTTACCATGAATTAACTCTACTCCTGTTCTGACTATGTCAACCTTATTGTCAGCACTTACTTTTTTAATATTTGTATCTACAGTAGTAACTTGGGCATAGACAAAATAATTATTACACCCAATAGATGTGTATATAAATATATATATTGTGACTTATTTTTTGTTAAGACTGGTCTTCAAGAAAAAAATGCTGAGTTAACAGAAATTGAATGTCTTGAGTTCATATCCTGTCTGTGCTGAATTAGCAGATCTCAGCCATGGTAATAGTGAGGACATTGCAATTGACCTTAAATGGTTTAGTGAAAAATCAAGGTTCTCACTCTTAATCTCCATCCAGGGTCCTCTGAAGAATCATCAATTGAAAAGAAGTGAACTTATGTCTGATTTATTTATAAGAACATGTTTAGATGTCAGAGTTTTCAGATTGGCCTGTAAATTTCACTGAGCTGCACTCTAAAGAAAAATGCATAAACACAATATTAAACTCATGCCAAAGTTGACATGAAACATACAATGAGTTTTTGGACAATTAACATACAGTCTTGGTTTTTGCACTGTAAAATATTACTCTGTATATTCTTAGTGCTTTTCAGATCAGCTATATGTATAATTAATTTACAATGACAACCACCACTGAACCACTATGCAAAGGCAATCATTGAGTTTGTAAATCATCATAATTATTGACCTATTTCCTAACTTCTCACTTTTGCAATGTTAGTAGAGCAAAAGCAAGTAAATCCTCCTATTGTCATTCTGTTAAACCTCCAGTCCTCTCTCTTATGGTTATGTCCTGCTCTTCATTGGGCAGGAATCCAACTGCACGCTAGAACAGTATTTTATGTCATCCTTTCTATTGGGAATGGCTGGCAAACCTGGACTAAACAAACAGGCAGAACACCATCAAGTAGACATCACATATTGTAACTGCTTGCTGTTGCTAGAAGATAAAAATTGTGTGAGAATACACACCTATGCTGTGGAATACCAATCTCTGCTGTGTTATCTTCCCAGAGCAAAACTTGGGCTGATACATTTAACTTAGCAGTTAATTGCATTATACTCAACAGCTTTCAATGATTATTGAATCATTGAAAAGTGTTGAGTATAATGCAATTAAACCTACATTTGCTTTATTGGCATGAAGAAAATCAGCTATTACAATTGACAGAAGATTGACCTCTTGATCGGGTCTGATTAAGTGTTTTGCTTTGACGGTTAAGATTTAACAGCAACATCTTCAGCTCGTTTCGGACCAAAAACAGGCATCGTTAGATTTTTCCTACATTTAATTGCCTGGATCAGTTGTCGTGCTGCTTGGCTTGGCTATCTGAATACTTGGCATTCAGATAGAGTCTGCTGCTAATTGCTTCTCAACTTTCAGTTGTACAATTGTGCATTAAAGTTGTCCACAGTAGGTGATAAATAGACCATTGATGCAGGTGCAGTGATCCAATACAAACCACAACCAGATTACATTTGTATAGCGCCTTTCACGTCGGGAGGATGTCCCAAGGCGCTGGACACTGCACAGCATTTCAGACCCAAGCTGGGGTCAGGGGGAGAAGGAATGGGAGGGGAAGGGGGGTGGCCGATGGTATGGTTGAAGAGGAGGGTCTTGAGATAGGGACTTGAAGGAGGCTAAGGAGGGGGCGAAGCAGAGTGATTGGGGATGGAATTCCAGAGATTGAGGGCAGAGTGGCTGAAGGCTCTCCCGCCAATGGTGGGGCGGGTGGGTCAGGGGACGTGGAGCAGGCCAGAGCCAGCTGTGCGGAGGGAACGGGCAGGTTGGTAGGGGGTTAGGAGGTCGCAGAGGTATGGTGGGGCGAGGCCATGGAGGACTTTGAAGGAGAGGATCAGGATCTTGAACGGGATCCTCTGAAGGACAGGGAGCCAATGGAGTCAGGCGAGAATGGGGGAGATGGGGTCATGGAGTTTGGTGCGCGAGAGGACACGGGCTGCAGAGTTCTGGATTATCTGCAGCCTGTGGAGGAGGAGTTGGGAAGGCTGACAAGCAGGGTGTTTGCAACAGTCAAGCCTGGAGGTGATGAAGGTATGAACAAGGAGGTAGTGGAGGAGTCGGACAAATGTTACGGAGGTGAGGGAAGGCAGAGGGGTTCATGGCTTAGATGTGGGGAAGAAAAGACAGTTGAGGGTCGAACAAGACACCTAGGTTCCTGACTGACTTAGTGAATTGAAGTGTGCAGCCATGGAGGTTGATGCTGCCAGAGCCTGAGATGCAGAGGCTCTGGCCCTAGCCAATCAGGAGGGCCTCAGTCTTATTCACATTTAACTGTAAGAAATTTGCCCTCATCCAGGACTTGATGTCTGACAGGCAGTCTGTCAGGACAGCAGTGGTCCTGGAGTTGAGTGTGGAGGCAGAAAGATAGAGTTGGGTGTCATCCACTTACATGTGGAAGTTGACCCCATGTCTGCAGATGATGTCACCAAGGGGAAAGATTTTAGATATTAAAGAGGAGAGGGCCAAGGACAGAGCCCTGGGGGATGCCAGATGTGACAGTGAGGGGCCTGGAGGAGAAACCGTTAGAGGCAAAAAGTGGAAACGGTGAGAGAGATAGGAATTGAACCAGGCAAGGGCAGGTCCGCGAAGATTAAGTAAAGAGGAGAGACAGTGTATGAGGATGGAGTGGTCGACAGTGTCGAAGGCAGCAGAGAGGTCGAAGAGGACAAGGAGGCAGAGGGAGCCCTGATCACAGATGTTCAGAATGTCATTAGTGACTTTGACCAGGGCTGTTTCCGTGCTATGGGCAGCACGGAAGCCGGATTGGAGGGGTTCGAAGAGAGAATGGCGAGAAAGAAAGGAGCGGAGCTGGGACTCGACGACTCATTCCAGGTCCTTGGCGAGGAATGGGAGGTTAGAGATGGGGCGGTAGATGGAGAGGAGGGATGGATCCGGGGAAGGTTTTTTCAAGATTTGGGAGATGACGGCTGTTTTTAGTCGGGTGGGAACTGAACTGGTGGACAAGGAGATGATGATGACGTCGGACAGGAGAGGGGCCAGAAGGCGGAGCTGGGAGATGAGGAGAGAGGTGGGGATGGGATCGAGGGAGAAGGTGGTGAGTTTGAGTTTGCGAAAATTGTGGTGAAGGAGGGAGAGATAGGGTCAAAGGAGTATAGGGGGAGATGGGTGAGGGGTGGGTCATGAGGGAGAGCTGATGTGGGGGTGGCTGTGGACGGGGCAGAGGTGGCTGAACATGTCCCCTCGATTTTGGATTCAAGGAAATCCAACATCTCTTCACAGTTGGAGTTTGAGGAGAGGTTGGGCAAGGCATGGGAAGGTGGACAGAGGAGACGTTTTGTGGTGGAAAAGAGAAGCCTGGGGTTGTCCTTTGCCTCCAAGATAAGAGGCAAGAGCCCAACGATAGGTCTTGGTATGGTTAAGCCATATCTGCCGATGGACAATAACAAATTGGTCACTTCAATCCACGACT